TTTAGTAAACAATTTTGTAATGCGGACCAAAATTTCGAAGATCTTCGGCCGTTAGCCAATCAAAATCGAGGATCTGCTAGGGTAAATCGCGTGATCCGCGGGAATTTTGAAGAAACTGCGATTTGCCCATCTCTAGTTGTAGCAATTATATAATAATTCTAGTTCTAGTAAATAAAGAACAATTTTTAAGTTTGCATGGGTCTCTAATTCTCAAGAAAATAAAAAAATTGTTGAACTTAACAATTTTGAAGCTTTCGAAAGTTTGCATGCATTTCTGAATTCTCAAAAAATAAAAAATATTCAAACAACTTAAATATTTGAAATGCATTTTTTTTTCTTGATCTCGATAAGTGTGATTTACTTTATCCAATTGGAGATAGTATATTATGCGTCCAATCAGAACTTGGGGAAATTAGGGGTCCCATATCAGCGTATAAATAAAAAAAAAAGATCTAATTTGATTACGAATAATGGATCCTATTTATGAGTATCCTACTTTAATCATCGGACAACTTAATTTTTAGTCACGAAGGTTCCCCCAGCCTTTCTTTAGCTAGTGGTAGTTTTTACTTAAATTAACTTTAAAATAGAAAATTGGAGGTGTAATGTCACATCAAACCTGATGTTTATAGAAAATCTATCTGTTTAACTAATATTGTATTCATGTGATACTTTGTACAAAGTAATTCGTTTCTCTATATATGACATTAACAAAATAAAAAATAAAAATAAAAAATTTTTTGTTCTCTTTTATTTTTTTTTTAACTGCCATAGGCGTACTTTGTTTATTACCGTGGTCGGCAAAATTTTTGGCCAGCATTACAAAATTAACCAATTACCGGCCGGAATTAACTTTTTACAAAAATAGAAATTTTTGAAAATAATATTGCACTATGTTAAAATAAAATATTTTCAAGTGATTACTTTCTTATATCCATATTCTCAAACTAACATCTGTATTCTCAAAAACAACATTGCACAATCGCGCAAGAGACAATAATCAGGTGATTGTACATCTGCAAAATTTGATCAAAGATACCGGCGTACATTTTTACAAACGGCGATAATTCAATTAGCAATAAGATTAATTAAATATTTGAATCATGATAAATTTATCATTAATTGACGATTTCAACCATTGGTAGGACGCATTCAACATATCTCTAAGGCATTAATTATGATTCTAAACTATCATTCAGCACAGGTTTAGAGAATATTCCTATGCACTGTTTTACTAGATCTTTTCAATTTAATATTTTCAAAGGTTATTGTATTAAAATCCTTTAATTATTGGTTTTATTTCAATAAAATGGAGTGAAACTATCGTCTTCGTTCCATTTATCTAGTTTTATCACATTTTTAAGCATGACTACTTTTGTCGTAGATTAAGTTTGATGTACGTATAGTAAGCAGATGCATGTGAACGAATACCAAAAAAATTTAAATGTACGTACGTACGTACGCCATTGAAAGTATTACAAATTTACGAAATCCAACATTAAAATCAAGCCTGATACATACATATGTACTGTACGTACGTATTATAAGTGTGTTCACTATTTGGACATTAATAATGATAGCTGACAATAGTGTTATTTCACAAGGTAAAAAATTTTAGTCATATAAACAAATTATTTAATATTGTTCACTACTATAACATTTATAATGAATTATTAGACTCAAAATACTCAGAGTGGTTAGAAAAATTGAAAGAAAATGATGATATAAAACATTTTGATCATTCAGAATTTGAAAATGTCAAAAAAATTGGCAGAGGTATAGTATTTGTTTCGAGAAGCTACGTATTAATACTGAGAGCCTAATTTCTTTTTTATTTTATTTTATGTATATGATTCAAGGCGGGTATGGAACTGTTTATTATGCTAATTACCGTGGAACGGAAATCGTATTCAAAAAGCCAATCGATGAGGATATAAAAACTTTCGTTAATGAGGTGTGCTAATATTGTTTATTAGTATCTAATTTATCATAATCAATACCTAAAAATAAATACATAAATACATAGTTGAAACAACTCATTACGGTCAAAAATTGCCAAAATGTTATTAAACTCCTGGGAATTACCACTGGTATGGAAATATTGTATTTTGACATTAACTCAACACAAAGGTAATGTTCGATTTTAATTTTTAGATCCAAAAGCAATTAATTCAGTTATGTTTCCCTATATGATGGTGCTACAATATGCAAATAATGGAAACTTGCGAAATTATTTGCGAAACAAAGTCTGTGGTAATTTTTTTAAAATTTCATGGGCAGAAGTCGTTCAAATTGCAAGGCAAATTACTCGTGGGCTCCAATACTTACATGATAACGCAATCATTCACCGAGACCTCGTAAGCATGATTTAAACTATTTAGTCTTTGATTAAATCGTACTTTAATGCTAATTTTTTTTTTTTTTTAGCATCCTAATAATGTTCTAATAAATAATAACGAAATCTTAATCGCGGATTTTGGATTGGCTCGAAAAACAGGAGATAGTTTGATCTCTTCAAGTTCAAGTCTTAAAGGCATCCACGCGTATATTGAACCACAATGCTATATCCAGCTCGAAAGGAAAGTTGAAATTGATGAGAAATCGGATATATACAGCTTAGGAGTATTGTTTTGGGAACTCACAAGTGGGCATCCTCCATTCTTGAACTTCAACAACGAATTGGCTTTACCTCTACATATTTCACTAGGTAATAGAGAGAAATCGGTTCCCGGCACGCCTTCAAATTACGTGAAACTTTATGAAAGATGCTGGGACTCTGAGCCGAAATGTCGTCCAACAATAAGCCAAATTCTATACCATCTTGATGAACTATCGGAAGTAGCTTTTGAAGTTATCATGAATAACACTGCTAAATATAACAAATAACTACAAAAATCGAATTAATTCTCAACTAAATTAAACTTGAAAATAGCTTTATACATATATTTTAAGATTGGAAACACGATAATATCTTATGAAGTTTATTTTTCTAAAAATTGAATCAGACTTGATATATATATATATATTTATATTTGAAAAAAGTCCTTTTATCAATGTGCTTGTCAAAAGATTGATAAACGATGATATTAAAGAATCCGACAAAAAAATAAAAAAAATAAAAATAAAAATAAAAAAAATAAAAATAAAATAAAAGAATTTTATTAAAACGCATTATCTCAAAGACTAGCTAGTTAATTGGTGCGTGGTGCTCTAAGTAAGAATGCTCTAAACTCCTGAAAACTCGTCTCAAACCTTAAATATAATCATAAATACCAAATCTAACGTGAAAAAATTTTGTATACAAAACTTAAAAAAACTTAGAAAATCTAAAATATATACAATAGATGCAAACCCATTATAGGTGCGTTTTATAATAATCGAAAAATAAAAAAATAAACACTTTCACTAAACGCCCTATCATATGTATACATTATTGGTGCTCTAAGTAAAAATGCTCCGCGCCCCGAAAACCTTTTCCGATCTTAAATCTAATCCTGAATATAATCTCTAAATTTGAGCTAAAAATTCTATATACAAAATTTATAAATACTTAGAAAATCTAAAAAACATAATATAAACATAATAGGAGCAAAACCACCACAGGTGCGTTTTATAATAAATAAAAAACAAAAATGAAAATAAAAAATAAATAACGCAGGAATATACTCATAACTACACGTAATTGTTCAGACTCGAACAGTTTCGGAAGTCAACTTAGTCGATTCATTAAACCATATGATAAAGGTATATTTAGTTAAGCGCATTTGTTTAAGTCGACTTTATATTGACTTAAAAAAGCTCCTCCTAAAGATGACCCCAAAACGGCTAATCGTAGCATTTCAACACCATCAATTGCAATTTCCTTTACTAGAATACATGTATCGATATAGTCAAAACAATAAATCTGGCAAATCGAAGTATAATAAATACTATACTATGAGCAAAGCATCTATTTAAGCATCTATTTAATATAGTCTGAGCTTTGGAATTTTAATTATTACTTTTAATAGAAAATCACTTTATTCTTTATCCGTCAATGTAATTTTATTAGTAATAGTTTTTGCTGCTCCCTTACATTGTTGAATTTTATGTAAAATTTCTTCTAGCTCTGGACGTTTTTTCGGTTTAGCTCTCCAGCATTTCTTATAAAGTTTTGCATACCTTGAAGGCGTGCCTGGAACCGTTTTTTCTCGTCCACCTTTTGAAATATGGGGGATTAAAGCAGGCCTACTCAGAACTTTCGGAAAAGGACGAATCCCGCTTGTAAGTTCCCATAATATTACTCCTAAACTATATATGTCTGATTTAAAATTTGCTTGAATCATTTGAGAATCAATAAGAAAAAATTGCGGATCAGCATATTCGATAGTAATGTATTTCCCATACATTGAAACTAAACTGTCGTCAAATTTCGATGCTGATCCAAAATCTGCTATTTTGACTTTGCTGAATTTATTGTTATTATCCTTCATTACCAAAATGTTTCTAGAAGACTAGAAAAATTGATATTTTTAATTATTAACTATATAATTTCAAATTAAGCAAATAGGAATACAGTAAAATTGCCACTTACCAAGTCTCCATGAGTAATTTTAGTATCATGCAAACCTTGCAACCCGAAAATGATTTGTTCTGCAATCAGAATAAGTTCTGCCCAGGTAATTGTAAAAACATTTTTTTGAATTTTTTTTCCCAAATAATCACGTAAGCATCCACCGTTTGCATATTGTAATACTATCATATTTTCATCACCTAAATTAAAACATAAAATTATTTATGATTTTTAATTTTAACACAAAAATCCATTCTTACCTATGGCAATTCCTAAAAGCCCAATAATATAATCATTGCGAACGGCCATGTGTTGTTTTAGCTATATAATGCATAATTTATTAGCTATAGATAATAAGTGAAATTTAGGTACTACGGTATTAATGAGTTTCAAGTTACCTCATTGACAAATTTTCTGATTTCATCGTCTATGAGTTTTTTATAGACAATCATTTCTTCACCATATTTAGCAGAATAAACAACACTGTTGCCACCTTTAATTGTATACATTCAACAATAAAAATTTTATTAAAGAAGCTAATGCTAAATTATACGCATGTACGAACGTACTGTACGTACCTTTACCAATTTTAATTTGACCACTAAATTTACTGGAATCATAAATCGGTAGTTTGTCTTTTGTCTCATTCATCCAATCGTGATACCTTGATGCTAATATTACGTAAATATTCACGCTATTAGTACTAGTGTTGATTGGGAATTTCCAAACAATTTTATTGAAATAGAAATTTCAATAAAAACATTGGAAATGGAAGACCCAATACACCCTTTTATTTTTAACCAATCAAAATTAATGATCTCTTCCAATACACCTTTTAATAAACAGATTAATGATTGGAAGGTATTGGCCAATCTTCCAATTAACAACACCATTAATGCAGTGCTTTGGTAAATAATTTAACTCACGATCTCTCTCACAATCTCCATTGGCATTATTATTATTATTATTCGGAACTTTAGAGTTCCGGAGTATTCGGAGCTTAAGAAATTTTAGCATGACAAGAATTTGGTGTAAAGATTAAAATGCTTTTCTCGTATTAATCATCGTATGTTTATTCATTTTGGTAAAGTAATATCACAATGTATCGTATTGTTTGACATATGAAGAGTAACTACATACGTACTAAGCAAAAATATTAACTTTCACATGTACATGCCCTTGTAAATACGATAGTGGGTATATGAATGAACCTACTTTTAGAAGCGGGCTGAGATAATGCAATTGCCGAAAATAATTAGCACGCCGTATATTCCCAATTTCTTTTCGATAGCCATTTTAACGTTAAGAGTTCTTAAAGCAGTGAAGATCGTGTGATGATCAACCAAAAAGTGTATCGCAGACACGTGAGAAAATTTTTTTAAAGTTCATTTAAGTTGGATTAAGGTCTATAATAGGATCCGTTGTTAGAGAAGTCTTAATAGTAAAATCGCTCAAAGAAAACTTTTTGTTAGAGCACTAAAGGTAGCTTCTTATGTAGTTTTTTTGAGAAATAAGCGATTTTTGACAAAGCGAGCGTTTGTTTTGAAATTTCCTGATCGTGTAACGTTACATCTGATTTATTAAAAATGCGCTATATTACAAATTACCGTGAATATGCACAGCACCCTATAAACAATTTCGGATTAGCGAAAATAGCAATAAAATCTTTAATCAAGTTATTCCCGGTATATAATCTGAAATTGAAAGGCAGGGTAGAGGGCGCTGTGCTTATTATCCATATTTTACGATATGTAAGATATGCAAAACAGTAAAAATTCCCAAGTTTTTGAACATAAAATTTTACGCTACGTATTCATTGTTTTAAATATTAAAAGTAACTTGCACTTCTTTAATATGTATATTTTTTGTAAAGAACCTAATTTATAATTTCGCATCGTATTTAAAAGTCTATTTAAGATTTTTATTATATATCGATATAAATGTACACATAGTTTAGACTACTTATAGTTAATTTAATTATTTATTTTGAACTTAGATCCAAAGAGAAAATTAGACATATAATTAATCATTATCAAAGAAATTGTGATTGGTTTTATACTGTATATTCGATATGAGTAAAGTTTGGAACCGGGTTCATTTTTATGTAAAACAGATTAAAACCGTTAAAGAATAACCGGTTCCAAACTTCAGAAACGTGCAATTTCATTGGTCAAAAACATAGTACACACATGTTATGCGAGTTATTATGTGAAAATAACACAAATTATGCGATTCATGCGATGCATAATGCATATGCGCCATAGGTTGAAGTATGCGTGGCCAGGTTTTATGTAAATCATATGTGCACATACTACCCCAGCAGCACCGTGATCTGCTATTATAAAAATTTTTCAATAAGGGTGATGACAAATATTACGTAATATTTTTTTACTATACCTTCTACCCCCTCCCCACGTAAGAGAAATTTGGTTGGCTAGTTTATAAATTTATTCTAACATAAGATATACAAGACCCCCCCTCCCCCTCAGGATATTACGTAATATTTGTCACTACCCTAACTACTTGATCAAACTTAGTGAAAATTTTTTTATTTTAATTGTATATTTTTGTAGAAACAAAATAAAAAAGATTTATTGAATTTGATTTAACGGTCATTGAGAAACTATTGATAAAAGTGTAAAAAAACTCTAATATCTTAGAAAAATAAGCCAAAATCATGAAAATTTATCCTTTTAAAACCTTTTAATGAAGATTTCTCAACCACTAGTATAAATTTGATGAATTTTTTTATTTTAATTATATGAGTCTATAGAATTAAAATAAAAATTTTTTATCGAATTTAAATAGGTGGTTATTGAAAAATCTTCGTTTAAATTCAAAATAAAATTTGGCCGCAGCATTTTTTAATATTTTGAGCGAAGATTACTCGACACTTACTTAACCAAATTCGATCAATTTTTTTTATTTTAATTCTATCAATCTATAGAATTAAAATAAAAAATTTATTAAATTTAGTTAGGTAAGTGTCGAGTAAGCTTCGATCAAAAGCTCAGTACCTTTTAGAAAAAAGCTGTGGCCAAATTTTGTTTGAATTTTAATAAATATTTCTCATAAATATCTATACAAATTTGACTAAATTTTTTATTTTAATTCTGTAGATCTATATAATTAAATTAAAAAAATTTTATCAAATTTGTATAGGTGGTTGTTGAGAAACCTTCGTTTAAAGTTCAAATAAAAAAATTATTATAACTTTATTTTTTTTTTACCTATAAACGAAGGTTTCTCAACAAACACCTGTACAAATTCGATAAAAATTTATTTATTTTAATTCTATGGATTTACAGAATTAAATTAAAATGAATTTATCGAATTTAAATAGGTGATTATTGAAAAACCTTATTTAAATTTCAAAACAAAATTTGGCCACAGCTTTTTTCTAAAAGGTACTGAGCTTTTGATCGAAGCTTACTCGACAATTACCTAACTAAATCCGATCTTTTTTTTTATTTAATTCTATAGATTCATAGAATTAATATAAAAAAATTAAAAAAATTGATCGAATTTCTTAGGTAAGTATCAAGTAATATTCGTTGAAAGTTTCAGTACCTATTAAAAAATGCTGCAGCCAAATTTGGTTTAAACTTAAAACGAAGATTTGTCAATAATCTTCTATTTAAATTCGATAAAATTTTTGAATGTTACTAACTTTCACACTAAGTAACATCATCTAGTTGCATAAAAACCAATCAAATCGCTAGATCTTGTGCAACCAAAACAAAGCAAGAAAAGAAAAAATTTTAAAAAAGTTTAATAACTATAAATTTTATTATGAAAACTATATTTCAACTTCTAAGCAAAAGTTTTCAACTTTGAATTTTATATATGAGTGCTGCAAAGAGAAAAGAGATACTTTGATCTATCGGTTTATCATGTCTGTCTAATCGGGCTTTCAACTTTAACATAATACACAGCTCCTGCAAAAATTGATCAGCAATTCATTACACAATTTTTATATTTCAGACAATTTTTATTTTTAAAAAATTAATGTTATATTAATACATATTTTATTTATTTATTTTGCTTTTACTTATTTTGTGCTTCTTTTGCACAATCTCCTTTTAATTTTCCAATCTTCTTTACTAATTTATCTGAAGGTTTTGAACAAGGTATATCTTGAAATTCAGTTGGGCAATATGGGCAAATTTTGTTCCAAAGATCTACTTGCTTTTCTTCTGAAAGGCCTTTTGATAGAAGCTTTCGAGGACAGATTTATTGGATTAACATTGGTTTTTAACAACTGAAATTCATTCCATGGGTTTGTTACTCTTATTTTAGCTTTCATTAATCCAAATTTTTATGAGTAAACTAAGAGAGTTAATATTTTTGAATTGCAGGAGGTTTTTGGTACAATGTACTAAGTGCTGAGGTCCAATTACAAAAGAGGTCAGTTTTTTCTTCTAAATTTATAGAAATATTTTTACTTGCACTTCTATCTATTACTTCAACAAGATGATTAATACATCAAGCTTCAGATTTTGCATACTCTAACTTAGTATGGCCAAATTCACAATCAACTAAATTTCTTGTATGGCCTTTTATTTGAAATTGATAGTTAATTTTTTAAAATTTTTTGGGATGATATATAGAATAATGGGAAAATCGGGTACGTATTTATTAAATATCACTTAAAATTAATCACATCGTACAAAA